TGCTTCTTCTCTGCTGAGAAAAGACCCTTCCAACTATCTCCGAAGAGTTGCCACCCTGGCGTACAAGCAAACCTAAGGGAAACTCTGCTGAATGATGTTAGAAATGCTTGTATTTATATTGATTTTGTCAATGTCCCTCTCCGAATGCTTTCACAGATGCTACTACTGCTCTTCTGCCGCTTTTCTCCACTTCTCCACTGGTGAGGATGACCCCATGGGGAGGGAAGGGAGCTGTTTTATGGCCCCTCAGTTTCTGGAAGGCCTGGATAAAAGGGTGTCACAGATTCATACCAAAGGCTTTGGGTAAAGGTGGGGGTCAAACATTCTGATCTGATGCCAGAAAAAAGAATCAAGGGTACAAGTACACAGCCGTGGCCTTGGCCAGAAGGGCCAGCTTTGATCAGAGATTGGAGCAGAGAGAATGGAGGGTGCCGAGGAGCAGCTCTGAGGTGTGGAGTATGGGAGGGGAGAGTCTTTACAATGTATGGCTTGTTTCCTCAGTAAAGCAGGAGCCGGGGCCTGCTGAGAAGGGCTTGGGAACATTGGCAGAGGAGGGCTGAGGAGAGAAGGTTCAAGTAGCCACTGTGGAGAGAATGACAGATAATCCGGGAAGAATTAAGGGTCCCAGTGCGGCAGCAAAAGCCTAGCTGATATTAGATAATGACATTTTGGGGAAACCAGCAGCCACAGCTGCCTGACCTTCTCTAGCTATGTTCAGCAGTGCCCGAGGAAGCATGGTGGCCGTAATCAAGGGAAGCTGGACCATTAAGGTGGGCCACAGCTGTGAAGGGAGGCCAAGGCAGAGGTAAGGCACTGGGACTACAGAGAAAGAGGAAGGGTTGGAAGGAAGAGATTTGACTTCTGAATCCTGATCTTGGCACCACCATCCCAACCAAGGCCACCAATGGCCAGATAAGCCTGAGAGTCGGATGGCAGGACGATCCTAACCCACCACTTTTGCTTAGAGGCCAGCTCCTGCAGCCCCTGGTAACTGACTCCACAGGGGCTGCATCTCTAAGCCCCTAATCATCTCTCATCACCCAAATCCTTGGCATTGTCACCTGGTGTGATACAAGAAGCAGATAAGGCTTTATCAGTGGAAATGACGCTAGAGAGGCAAGAACAGTCTGTTTTGGTGCTACCCCCTAAGGACCATGGGACCTTTCCATCTGACTTGTTGCTGAAACCCCCTCCAAGTGTCTTTGCTCCCCCTAGACTGAAAGCATGGATCTCTCTATTTCCAGGGCTTTGGCCCTCATAATCACTTCGTAAAGCGCTCATTCATTCGTGCATGGGAGTACTGATTAGGGGTGATGAAGGAAATGAGCATCCTTCTGCATCAGGGAGATAGAGTGAAGGCGGTAACACCCATTTATATAATGCTCTAAGGTTTGCAGAACATTTTATATACATTATTTCATCTGATCCTCACAATTACCTCGTGAGGCAGGTGCTATCATTACCCCCATTTTTACAGATGAAGAGGTTAAGTGACTTGCCTAAGGTCACCAGCTATTAAGTGTCTGAGGCAGGACTGAGATGAGAGCCCTCATCTCCAGGGCCTCTATCTGCTGTACCACACTGCCTCTCATCATGGCATCTGAAGGGATCAGTGAGGTCAGGGTGTTGGAGGTAATACTGACATGCATATTGGAAGTTCCTCAATACGAGGGCAGGGGTTGAGATGGGTGAGGAGGAAGACTGAGGAGCCAGGTACTGAACTCCTTGAGAGAGGAGGGAGAATGACCTGAAGACCAGTAGATTAGTGAGATGTGACTTTGGACCGGGTGATCACTCAATTAACAAGCATTGATGAATCTTCTACTGTGTGCCAGGCTCTGGGCATCCAAGTATAAAGAATGAAACAATCCCTGATCTCAAGAAGCTTGCATTCTAATAAGGGAAAAGGTGTGTGTGTGTGTGTGTGTGTGTGTGTGTGTGTGTGTGTATGTGAGACACACAACAGACAAACACCAAAGAAGCACAAATATATGCAAAGTAGTCACGCAGGGTACTTAGGGAGGGTGAGCGAAGTCTTCTTGCAGAAGATGATGCTTGAGCATCTTAGAAGACAGAGTCTAAGAGGCAGAGGTGAGGATGTCCAGAGCATCTTCTCACCTACAGAGGAGTGAAGACAATCTTCAAAGTGAGACCTTACCCAGCCTGGAGGCGGGAGTTAGGAAGAGGAATGAGGCTCCTGATCTTTGGCCCTGGGCTTCGGGAGGCAGGGAGATAAAAGGGGGAGTCCAGAACCCAGGGCAGGCTGGTGGTTTGGCTCCCAGGCAGTAATGCATGGCTCAAGAATGCTGCAAATGTCAAATGGCCAAACTCAGGCAGGGCCTTGTCTCCTTTCTGTTTCTGAAGATGATGGAAAGGGGAGACTTTGGGCAGCCTTGTTTCTCTCTTTCTGGTGGGGTGAGTGTGAGGCTAGCTGGAACATTTACAGGGTCAGGACAATCATGAGTCCACGGGCTTAAAAGGGAGTTGATGTTTCCTGCTAATGGCTTTGGACGTGTTGCTTCAACTCCCTCTGCCTCAGTTTCCTCAAATTCAATTTTTTTTTTTAGCTAGGCAATGGGGTTAAGTGACTTGCCCAGGGTCACACAGCTAGTAAGTGTTATGTGTCTGAGGGCGGATTTGAACTCAGGTCTTCCTGCCTCTAGGGCCAGAGCTCTATCCACCGCGCCACCTAGCTGCCCCTCCTCAAATTCAATTTGGTTCAACAAATTATGAAGCAAAGCACTAGGCCCTTACCTACCAGATAGGTCAGGGCAGAGGTGGTTAAAGAGAAAATGTCATCTCTGAGCTCCTCAGGAGGACCCGTGTAAACCCTGGGATAGCTATTGTCTCTGTGCTTTAGTGCTCCCTTTGGTAAAATGAGGGGGTGGGAAGACAGCCTCTAAGGTCTCGGAGCCCCATCTGTGCCTCAATTTCCCCTTCTGTACCCAGAGGGGGCTGCCTCCATGGACTCCTCCAGCTCAGCGTTTCCAAGCCCAGCCCTGCCTCAGTTTCCCTTCTGTACCCAGAGGGGGCTGCTTCTGCAGATCCCTCCAGCTGAGGGTTTCCAAGCCTAGCCTGTGCCTCAGTTTCCCTTCTGTACCTAGAGGGGGCTGCCTCTGCAGACCCCTCCAGCTCAGGGTCTCCAAGCCCAGCCCTGCCTCAGCTTCCCTTCTGTACCTAGAGGGGGCTGCCTCTGCAGATCCCTCCAACTCAGGGTTTCCAAGCCCAGCCCTGCCTCAGTTTCCCTTTGCACCCAGAGGGGGCTGCCTCTGCAGATCCCTCCAACTCAGGGTCTCCAAGCCTAGCCTGTGCCTCAGTTTCCCTTTGCCCCTAGAGGGGGCAGCCTCTGCAGACCCCTCCAGCTCAGGGTCTCCAAGCCCAGCCCTGACTCAGTTTCCCTTCTGTACCTAGAAGGGGCTGCCTCTGCAGATCCCTCCAGCTCAGGGTTTCCAAGCCCAGC